GCCTTCCCCAGGGTGTGCACAGTGGCAGGAGCCACCCCCATAACCCTGGCTCTGTCCCACACCCTAGCTCAGCTGGGCAGCACCTGCCCCTGCCCCAGCCCTCCCTTACCGCAGGGGCCTCCATCTGCCCCCCTCCACACTCCTTCCCTCCCCCATGCCCCTTCCTTCATACAGACTTACCAGCCAGATGTTCCTCTCCAAGCTCCTGACTGTGCGCATGCTGTGGCTACATGCCTGCTGCAGCTGCATGCATGCACACAGCATTTATCGGTGGCCATATCAGCCAAAGAGCTGATTGCCAATTATGTCAATTTCCCTTTTATCGATGCTGATATGATATATCCATGCACCTTTAGTTTCAGAGGCTACATTTCTTTGGCAATCAAATTAAGGCCTATAAAAACTGATACTAACTTTCCTGGAAGTGGGAGACACTCAAATATAAGGGATGAGATTAGAAATTAGTTGATACAATGTACTAGGCAAGGAACTAATTGAAAAACATTTCTTGCAGTCCACAGCTCTTTACTGACAGAGAAATAACACTTCAATACAGCTAGCAAGCCTAATAAGTGATACAAATATAAGTTTTAGAAAGTCTCACCAAAATACTCCTGAAAAGATAAAAAGAAAAGCTACATAATTCACAATGGCAAGTGGGGTCAAGCACATTTGAAGGAAAGTATTTACAATACCTTTTCCATTTTAGATGCAGGAGATCTTGCAAAAAAAAAAAAAAAAGGTTTTTGAAGCTTATTTATGATCGTCTATTTACCTTTTCCAGATGGGAAGCCTATCTAACAAATCATTACAGAGTTTGATGTCTTTTCTTTATGGAATTTCTGAAAAATGCAATCTGACAATCAATACATTTTTCCCAATCAATAGCTACACTACAATTACCTCAGTAATCTTGATGATGCACTTTAATTTAGCGTGTTGGCTTTTCAGGCGTTTATTTTCAAAGAACAATCGAAAGCATCATACATCATCACAGAAAGCAGCTACTGTCAGAACATATGTTAACCCAGTGCCATTTAGGTCAGTGTCATAAAGTAAAATGAAGTTTGGACACGTCCATTAATTCCCAACGCTTAGAATCTGATGCCAGTTACAAGCACCAGCTCATTTTAAATGGGTAAAGAAATTTTACTGAGATGAAGCATCTGATTTCTAAAAATACACTACAATAAAAGAACAAGAGGCAGAAGCAACATCATTTATGCTGACTACTCTACAGACATTATTAAACAACCACAAATAACAATCACATAAAACTTAAAATGTGTTGAAAAAAGAAACACAGATTATGCACATTGCGTGCTGCTACTTCCATGAAATAAAAGAACTCCAAGATGATCACAAAATCATAGTGAAGTCAGGCTGGAAGGGATCTCTGGAGGTCACCTCTAGTCCAACCCTCTGCCTGGGGCAGGATCATCCCTATCCAAACCATCCCATACAAACCAGAAAGGAAATCTTACATAGAGTTTAAATTAAGTGAAGCAAGGCTCTAAACTAAGCTAATACAGGCTGAGAAACTAACACGATGATTAGTCTAAGATTATAGAGCAGGTCTTTGGGGCAGGAAGGCACCTCAGCCTCCTAACAAGCAGACACAGCCTATAAAAAACGACAAGGGCTGTAATTAAAGAATATTTCTTGACCTGAGTCCTCATTTCAAGAGGTAGAATTAGGTTCCCCTATGTGTATTCTCCACCATGATTCGCAGGTACACCAGGAAAGATCTTAAAAGCTTCATCTTAAAAAGTCTTAAATCCCTGTGAACAGCAGCACTGGAGGAGACGGGGAACTGGGGACAGCGCGGTCACCGCACAGATTGCACTGTTCGCTCCCTGCCTAGCCAGTGGCTGCTCCCCTCAGCCTCCAAGCTCCTTGAAGCCAGAGCTGCCTCGTCGGGCCCTTCCTGAGGACAGAGGACTGCAGCCCCCCCCAGGAGGGCTCAGGCACAGCCCCGACCTCCACAACTAGCGCATCAACCCCTGGACCGTGCAACACATCATCCACTACGGGAAGCCCCGGCCCGGCCCGGCCGCCAAGCTTCGGGGCAGGCGCCGCAGGCTCAACCCAAGGCCCAGGGCTGCAGAGGCAGGAGCGGCCCCGGCCCCCCCGCGGCCAAGCTGGCACGGCTGAGGGGAACAGCGCGGGCCCGTACTCACCGCGCAACTCCTCGGCGCCCTCCAGCAGCATGTCCCGGGTGAGGCTGGAGATGTGCCCGGTGAGCGAGGACAGGCCGCCGCCCACCTGACCCAGCGACTGGCCCAGCCCCGCGCCCAGGCCCCCCAGCCACGACGCCATGGCGGCCCCGGCCGCACTAAACTAATCCCAGGGCCCAGGCTGGCCTGTGAGCATCGGCCCCAGCCCGGCACAGGCCTCAACGGCTCGGTCCGGCGGCGCCCGGCATTGCCACCTCAACGGCCGCCATGACACCCGCAGCGCCTGCCGGGTCACCATAGAGAACGCTGCAGGCTGCGGGTACTGCTAGAGCGCCCCCTGCGGCGACCGGGCAGTGTGCAAGCCAGCAAGGCACGCAGGAAGAACTGTGGTTGCTGGAGGCGGGGCCTCTCTGGAAAGGCCCCACCCCCGCTAGGAAGGGCGGCAGCGTATGCGCGGAGCTCAGCTGCCTGCTGTGTCACGCACGGCGCGGAGACGTCACCGGCCGGGTCTATGGGCAGGGCGCAGGCGCAGGGAGCTGCGAGACTTCCGGGCTGTCGCCAGCTGAGAGGAGGCGAAGGCGCCGCATGGTGTGATACGTGAGCCGGAAGGGGTTTAACACGGCGGTGTGCCCGGGAGGGTGCACTTGCACCCCGGTCCAAATGCGGGCATTACTCCCTACAAGAGCTTCCCAGTGGCCAGCTTCCAGGGGGAGGATGTGGGCTACGCGCCGACTTTACGTTTATTATTTATTTAGCGAATGCAAATCCGCGAAGCCAAACAAGGCAAATGCCTAATTGTTTTCGAAGCCAAGCAATAGCCTCCTCCTTAACTGAGTTCAGTATTATTAATCCACCCCTTATTTTGTGCAGGGGACAGTATGGACGTTATGGGAATGGAGGACTTCTCTCCAGCTTGCTCCTGGGGCTGTTGGCCGAGAGCAAGTAAAACTCGGAAGTATCCGAACCCCAATCTTCCCAAATAACTTTTAAAAAGCAGCCTCAGCGGGGGCTCTCCCAGGGGCTGGACCAGCCCTGAGCTACCAGCCATCACCCATGTCCCCAGCCCCACAGAGTCCCCACACTCAGCTCACAGCTCCTCAGCACCCCTCAGCAGGAGGTCTTACTGAAGCTGGAGATGTGAGCAGTGTTGCCAAGTGTACAATAATTATTATACACATGATCATTTAAAGCCTTGTACAATGTACAATCAATAATAGTAAAAGTGTTCAAAATGTACTTTAATTTTTAGAAGCAGCTAATTAATGCAGCATATGCAAAGCCCAAGTCAGGTTGTCTTAACTGACTTTTGGGTTTGCTATCAACTCTTTCTTATAATTACTTGCCTTGAACTAAATAAATGCTTTAGCTTTGATGACCCACCTTGATTGGTACCTCCCAAGACTGGGGGGCACTATGGCAAGCAGGGACTACCTGCAGACAGCAGCACAGGAGGCAGTGAGCAGAGACCACCTGCAGATGTTGCTTGCCCCCACCACACTTTGCCACCACTAACTACCCGCAGAAACTGGGGGTGGCTTTGGGAGTAGCCAGTCTAGGGGTGGGATGGAGAAGCCTGACTCAGCCCTTGATGTCCTACTACATATTGCCTATGACAGCCCAGTTCTCAGTCACTTATTGACTAGTTACAGCGAACAATATAAAGTAAATAAAACTTATTTGCATATTTATTTGCATATTTTTTCAGTGTACAATAGTTTTTCAGCAAACACGATCATTTTGAGCTTCCAGTACGATAATTCCATTTTTAAGACCTGGCAAAAGGGGTAGATCTCACAGCCTGTGGCGGGTGCAGAGATCCCACCTCAGGAACACAGCTGGGTATTCGTATCCCTCTGCTGTTTCCACCGCGTGAGGCGGGCCAGTAGGGGGTGCTCCTGCGTTGAGCCACCCACCTCCCTGCGCCCGACCACCTTCCAGGCTCCGAATGCCTCCCTAGGGGCGCCTTATGTCCAGCCGACCCCTCTCCCGGAGCACACTCGCTAGTCTGGGGGTAACGTGCCGCCACCACCCCAAGAATGGACTGTCTCGCAGCCCTGTGTCCTTGGGGTAACACAGGCCTAAAGTCCCACGGGTACTCAACCCAGTACAGGCACTTGGGGTACTTCCCCAAGTCCGGGGGCAAAAAGGTATAGTCTCCCTTAGTCCACAGACCTAAGGGGTCTCTTAGGCATAATTTAGACCCACCCCTCAATAAGTCTCCCACACCAGTCAAAAAGGAGAACTTTATTGATTACAGGGGGTAGGGTAAACTAGGGTACAGGATAGAGCAATATCTAGAAATCCTAAAGAGCAAACAGTCTGGCTGTGGTAGCCTTTTGATTACGCATCTGTGATACTTCCAGCTAAATATCTAATCAGATTGAGTAGCTTACTCACAAGCATCTTCCAAAGGCAGGTGAAGTTTCCCTTTGGAGGCAGGCGGTTCCTAGCTCGTGAGTTTGGGGGGAGAGAGCCAGTTTCAGATGTTAAGGCTTCTCTGTCCCCTGCCTGGCTGCTGCGTCACCTCATGGCCGGAGAGGAGAGACCGCCTCCTTCCCCGTCCTAACTTATATAGCCCCTGTGACCTCATTCACCTGGGCCAGCGGAGGTCAGCCCCAGTTGGCTGTCAGCCAACCAATCTGAAATGCATCACCTGTTACTGGGCAGATTCCAGCTCCCCAGGTAGAAACCCCTTACCCAGGTAAGTGATGCAAGTCACGTAAGCAGAGGGGGCAGGTTTCCCCCCTCCCTCAGGAATGCAGCCAGCTCAAGTTCCCTAAAGAGACAGGCTGAGGGTGTGGTCCCCTGTGTGCTGGGCCCATCCTAATTGAATGGTCACAGCACAGAGATTTAAATCACAGTGTCACAGGGCAGAGATTTTTGGGGAGAAACCAAGGTGGCATTCTGCCACACAGCCCATCCTCTCTGCACCAAACCAGGACTTGCTGTTCCAAGCCCATCCCAGGTAGACGCTTGTCCAGCCTGGGTTTTTGTAGCATTATCAATGAAAGCAATTGACAGCTTTCAGCTTCTGCTTCTGTCCTCCTGTGCTCGAGGCAAAGTAGTGATTTTCCAGCAATTTGATCCATGTTTACTTTGCTGTACTTAAACCCATTGCCTCCTCTCCTGCCTTCTATGGCGAGAGATACCAGTGTTCCTCCACCTTCTCTCAGGCAGCCTTCCAGATATTCAAGACCTGTTGTTCTATCCCTTCCAAACATCCTTTTCTCCAGGCTAAACATTCATTTGGCCTTTCTGTCAATGGCTTGCATTCCAGCCCCGTTATCATCTTTGTGGCTTGTCTCTGGATCCTCATTAGCTTCTCCGTATCCTCCTTAGAATACAGTGCTGAAAACTTGACACAGTACTCCAACCACAGCCTAACCAGCACTGAGTGCAGTGGTACCGTTAAATATTTTGCATATGATTTCTTTGTTAAAGCTACCCAAAATGGTAGAGTTGTGCGAAATTTCACCGGGTGTTTCATTTCAAAGCTGTTTCAATGCATTTTGAGCTTGAAACAGTGAAGTTGAAACGAAAAAAAAGGCTTTGAAACAGTTTCTAAATGAAATGAGGGCATTCGAAATGTTTTGAAAGTTTGGAAATGTTTCAAGTTTCAAAGCCGGGCTTACTTGGCTTCAGCACCAGTCCCAGTTGGCAGCAGGCAACCTGCTGTCATCCAGCATGCAGATTCGGGGGCCCGCACCCCAAGGAAGAGTCCATCACACACCTGCAGCTGTCCTGGGGGGACCTGCATGCCGGATGATAGGAGGCTACCGCTGCCACCTGGGACCAGTGCTGGGTGCAATGTGCGCCCAGCGCGGGGAAGGTTGGTGCTACTACTGGCCCTAGGCAGCAGTGGCAGCCTCCTGTCATCTAGCACACAGATTCGGGGGCCCACACCCCTGGGAGGGGTCCAGTACATCCCTGCAGCCCTCCTGGGGGTGCAGGCCCCCAGTTCTGCACGCCGACTGACAGGAGGCTGTTGCTGCCAGCAAGTGTCGCGAGAAGAACAGTTTGAGGTGCAGTTTCCCAGAAGCCTCTGCACCCATCTCTTTGCCTCAGAAGGGGCTGCCATCTCTACAATTTTCATCCTAATCAGGCCAGAAATGACAAAGTTTTATGCATTTGCATGATTCCCCATTATAGCCAATGGGTAAAACGTCGAAATGTGTCAAAACAGCAAAACAGTTTTGATGAAATGAAATGGAACAGTGCTTCGAAACATAACGAAAAGATGAAATGAAACACTGTCCCTTCGAAACGGCGAAACAGAAGTGGAAACGAAATGGTGCTGTTTCTCACAGCCCTACAAAACAGCTTTTTTTTTTTTTTTTTTTTTTTTTTTTT